GTATGTATGTATATGTATGTGTGTATATGTGTGTGTGTATATGTATGTATGTATGTATGTATGTATGTGTATATGTGTATGTATATACACAGACAAGGTTTTGTTACTTTTATATACACGTAAGTTCTTCTTTCAGATTCTTCCTTTATGAAAAACTCAGAAGCCTCAGTGCAGTTTTAACGTGATTTTAAAATGACTGTAAACTATTTCTCCCACAAGATCTGAAATTCAATGCAACCTGAAAACATTTTGATAAAATTATTTTGTTTTCATAAATTTTAGACTTTAGTGCTTAAATGTACTTAAATATAGAATAAATGTGTGGGTTTTTTTTAATACAAGATGTATTAAGAATTTGCAGTAGTTAACTTTTTCTTTACACTTAGATGACAGAAGTGAACTTTTTTTTGTTAAACTAATTTTTATTGATGTTCTTGACAAATGCAATTTTGACAGGGATATTAACTAAAGTGAATTTCAAATTTGAGACCAGAGTAGCTGAACTGAAAGAATAGCTGATTTACAGGGTTATTCAGTAAGGTGAGAATTCAAATGGAGAGTCATTAAAAAAAAATCGTCAATAAATGATTGCATTATAAAAAAAGAAAGTACGCCACACTAATTTATAAATAATTTTATTCTAATCTTGATGAAAATGAAAACAGAAAAATGATGTAATGCCATCTTGTGGATTTTAAGGATATGATTGTTTTTGAGATTTTGTAACAAGACTTGGAGGTGCCTGTTATGCATGCATCTTTCTTTATTTAAAACAGCAGCAAAAATAACTTCAATAAGTGAAAATAAATATAAATTCAGTTCTGTCCCAGCTCCCCCACTGTCTGTGTGTGAGGCTATACAGGAAGTGGAAGGGATCACTTTCTATTTGCCCACTGGTAACCTCTCACACAGGAGATGCCTAGCAGGAGGAGAAGGGGAAACTTTACAGTGATTCACACTGTATAACAGCTCCTGCAGCTCTAATATAATCAATCTGACTGGTCTACAGAGGTAGGTAAGTGTAAAGGGTATGCCGAGTGTGCCTGGGGATACCCTAATGCCACCAGGTTCAGATTGAACTTGGTAACTGAGGCTGACCGCAAGAACTTGATTGTCTGGCCACCCATGTATTCTATTATAAGGATCCAAAGGGAAACCGCAACATATTCTACCAATCTTATTATCACTTAATAACCCTACCCCAGCCTATCCCAGCACACGTAGTCGTTAATACCCATACCCCAGCACACTGTGTATTAACACTATGTGTGCCGTGGTAGGGGTATTAAGGACTAGGACTACGGGTATTAGGGGGTAGGTGTATTAGTGGCTAGGGGTATTAAGGACTAGGGCTACGGGTATTAGGTGCCCCAAGTCCTTCACTTACCTTTCGTGAGATGGACTTTCTAAGGGTTCTTCAATAGCTTCAGTAGAGTGGCGAGCGGTCCAAGATGGCGCCCGCATTCCTTGCCGCTCAGCACACAATGCAGCGTCTAGGTATTCTATGTCTATGGTCTGAACTCTCTGTGCTGTGTAGCTCCTCCCCCGTGGATCAGTGAGTAGAGAGACAGGGAGGGATACTGGCCGGCGCTGGTATTGCAGAGTTATCTCTGTTTATACTGAGAAAAATATCTGCATTTGTATTGCGATATTACTGCAATACTGACATGGCCAGGCAGCCTCAAATACCATCTGTGCCAGTAAAATACCAGTCAGGAGGAAAACCTAAGAGTAGGGTGGGCCTATTCCATGGGCCTGGAGCTGCAGCTCCATCAGCCCCTATGTTAATCCAGCCCTGCCTACATCCAGATTTCACTAAAGAATGGGAATTAGCAGCAGGCACATGCTCAACGAGATTTATGGAAATTATCTGTACTTTTGAAAAGGAAAAACTTAATAATATCAATTTGAAACTAGAAGAGGAAATTGACAAACTTAACCAATTTAAAAGTGACCCCACGTTCCCGACCTTAGAGAATAGATTGAAACAGAATCTTGATAGGTATCAAAATTCCATTAAACTCAGAAAACACCAGAAGTTTATTAGGGACTCTAAGGATTACCAAACGGGTAATATTTACAAATTTCCAAACCGTCTAAGACAGAACTCTGAAAATAACATAACTTCGGAGTATGATTCCTCAGACACGCATTTGAGTAACACACCTCCCTCACAATCTCAAACCCCCACCACACCTAACACCAGCAACCCCCACAGTATCCTCAAAAAAAGGTGTAAATTTTTTAGAAATGGGACAACAGGAGGATTTTCCAAACTACCAGACATGATACCAATCTCGGAACCAGGGGAGGAAGAAGAGGGGGGTGAGGAAGAGACGGTACTAGCCAATAACCAAACCATGGCAGTTTCCGGCACCCCTAAGCTTCAAATAATTAACCTGTCTACGTTCCAATTAGATGAGTATCACCTTAAAGTCCTTGAAAGGGGCCTTTCTTTTGTGCCAATTCCCGCATTGTGCGTAAGCTGGCACTACATAAGTACCATGCACTAAATAAAGAAAAGAAAGCAAAATCCCTTGGTTTCTCCAATAAGGACTATGAATGTCTCAATACACTACTGTCACTCATTGATGAGAATAATATGCAGGTTCCAAAGAGATATACCGAATTCAAACCCAATTTGTTCACTCCGAATTTTTCCAGCTTTAGAATGATTTATTCCTTGAAGCTGTAAGGAGTGAGATTGAAGGTATAAGGGATAAAAAGCTTGAATTCTCTCCTAACCAAAATCTCCCTAAAAAAGAACAGGCAGCACTGAAATCGCGTAGGGAAAATGACAGCCTGACTATTAAGCCGGCCAACAAAGGGGGCAATGTGGTAGTCATGAACACCAGTGACTACGAGAAAATGGTCCTAAGAGTCCTAAGTAATGAGGACACATACAGGATCATTAAATCTGATCCGACCAACATGTTCCTTAACAGTTATAAGGATATTCTGGACGAGGGCCGCAGTGGAGGGTTGCTATCCGATGACGAGTACAAGTTTATCTTAAATCGTCATCCCAGGATAGCAACCTTCTACTGCCTGCCAAAAGTCCACAAAAACCTGCAAGACTCCCCGGGCCGACCTATTGTATCAGGGAGAGAACATAACGCAGCATGACAGTCTCTATGTTGACAGGATTCTAAGACCATTTGTTGAACCACTGCCTTCATACATAAGAGACCCAAAACAAGCCCTTTCACTTCTCTCAATTCTTCGTATCCCACCTACAGCTAACATTTGTAGCTTAGATGTAGAAGCTCTGTATTCTTCCATCCCCCATCAACATGGGATTGAACATATTGAATTTTTCCTGAATAAAAGAGGCCCTGAACATCAGGCACATACCACATTCACACTGAGACTCCTGAGTTTCATCTTAACACACAATTACTTCCTGTTTCACAATAAGTTTTATCATCAGATACGGGGCACAGGAATGGGTACGGCGTGTGTGCCATCCTATGCCAATCTCCACCTGGGTTTGTGGGAGGAACAAATCAACACATCAAATATCCTGTCTACATTTCGGCCCAAGATAGTCTCCTGGTATAGATATATCGATGACATCTTGATCATCTGGCAGGGTGACAATAAGGAATTTGATGATTTTGTTTCCTTAACGTAAATGATGAATATCTAACTTTCACAGCAGACTTTGGAGGGGTATCCCTGAATTTCATGGACCTCACTATCTCCATCTGTGAGGATGGTTCCCTGAAAACAACTTTATTTAATAAACCATCAGCATCTAACGCACTATTGAAATGGGACAGTTTCCACCCGCGATCACTTAAACAAGGTATTCCAGTCGGTCAGTACCTTAGGGTACGTAGAAACTGTACGGACATACGAGAATTCCAAACCAAAGCTAAGGTTCTAAGATAACAATTTAGAGAAAAGGGATACCCTAACAAGTGTTTAAAAAGAGCATACAGGAGGGCACTTGAGACCGAGCGAACGGATCTCCTGGGAGACCCCCCAAAAACTCAGAGTACCATCAATAAGACAATTAGGATGATTGGGACCTTTGATACAGGCTGGAATGAAGTTAAACGTTCCCTTCAGAGGTTCTGGCTGATCCTAATGAAAGATAATCACCTGAAGGATGTCCTGAGTCCTCAAGTGACCATTACAGCACGAAGAGGCAGGAACCTCCGAGATATTCTGGTCCCTAGCCATTTTACAACTAAACCAAAGCCACTAACTTGGTTGGGACGGAATACCCCGTCAGGGTCATACAGATGTGGCAGGTGCGTTGCGTGCAGGTATATACTTTGAGACTCCAAAAGGGTGACTGACAGTGAGAGTGTACAGTCCTACAACATCACACATTTCTTCAACTGTAACTCTGCAGGGCTTGTCTACCTCCTTACCTGCAGTTGTAATTTGATGTATGTAGGGAAAACTTTTAGGCCGTTTAAGGAACATGTGAGGTCCCCAAAAAAGTCTGTATACTCCCATCTCCAGACATCACAAGGAGTCCCATGGGGGTTCATCAAGTGAGATAAGATTCTGCGGTCTTGAACTAGTCAGAAGGGAACAAAGGCGTGGAGATTTTGATAGAACCCTGCGCCAAAGGGAGTGTAGGTGGATATACAAATTAAAAACCCTGAACCCAAGAGGTCTTAATGAGGGTTTTTCATTCTCTCCCTTTATTTGAACCATGTATATATCTTGGATTTACTATGATTATTATTATTATTATATGTATATAAAGTATATTGTATAATGTTTTATTTTGTATATAGATTTTTGTATATGTTTTCAGAAATTGTTTGAGGAACATGACAGAGAGTTCAAGGTGTTGCCTGGGCCTCCAAATTCTCCAGATCTCAATCCAGTTGACCATCTGTAGGATGTGCTGGAACAACACATATGACCGTGGTGCCAGATACCACAGGACATGTTCAGAGGTCTTATGGAATCCATGCCTCAACACATCAGAGGTGTTTGGCAGCACAAGGGGGAACTACAAAGTATTAGGCAAGTACTTTTTTAAAAATTCTTTATTTTATGTTGTGCATAGGTATACAAACAGGCTTGCACAGCCACAACAGCTAACTCAAGTATTATGAAACAACATAGTAATACATGTGTGTGGAATAACGGGAAAACTGCACATTTGATAATAGTATTGTAATGAGGGCTAAGTCACAGGGATCAGAGAAGGTTAGTTATGTCGTGTGACAACCATTAGAAAGGAACCCTCTGTGACCAAGATTGATGAGTGCTGCCACTAGTGACACTGACAATAAAGTAAAAAGTTAGATAAGGAGGTTAGTGCGAAAGAATTGTGTTGAGCTTAGTATTGCTAGATCAACATAGTGTGAACACCCCATAGACCCCCACCCTAGGTAGATGGATAGTAAGGCCCAGAAAAAAAAATTAGTCATGATATAAACATAAGATTAGGTTCAGAACATAAATTTGAAAAATTTCTAAGGTTTGCAATGTGAAGGCTGAGGGGGGAGCTCAATTCAGCCGATACCCTCTTGGGGTCTGGTATAGTCTGCTGTAATCTGGCTGTCTTCAATAGGATCGGGAGCGACATCTCTCTGTGCGAGCCAGCTGCTCGGGCAGGCACAAGGGTAAGTCCTCTAGGGTTGATGTATGTTGGCTGTTTCTGTGCCGAATTCACCGAACTGCAGTACCTCCACCTTCTTTGCCAACTGTGGGACTAGTCTGGCATTTTCTGGGATGGGATACTCTTTTGTTTCTGCTGAATAGTCTGCCACAGATATGTAGTGAGCTTCTGTCATAAGTCCATGTGGGTTTTTCCTAGCAAGGAGAGAAGGTTGGTGTCCACCTTGGTGCGAGCTGTGGGAGTCGCGGCTTTTGCCATTTTAAGTGAGACTCCTGGTTTGAATAGTGGTATAATGGTACATTGGGGCTGGGGAGTCACTGTCATGGTAGGGGGAGGGGTCAGGATCACCCCCACCAGTCCAGAGGTGGGGGGGTGGGGGGGAGAACAGGGCCAGGTGCACACTGCTGTGGGAGTCAAGCTTGATATAGTCAGGCAGGATAGCAGGGCAGCGGCTGTCCACCCTATTTACTGCCTGAGTAGGCCTCATTCTAGGAAGACGACAAATATCCTCCTGAGGGACCAGTACTCCCTTGTGTCCAGGACCACTGCTTCTGGCTGCCAGGTAGGTACAGGATCAACTTTAGTGGGCTAAAAAGTTGAAAGATTGTTGGAGCTGCTGTCTCATGCAGCCTTTCACAATGGCAGTCAGGCCCCACCCCAAGGCAAGTACTTTTAATGTTATGGCTGTTTCATTTATAAATAACGGAGTAGTTACTATATGTAGGCACAAAAACAGAAATATACAACCACCTACAAAAGTGTACCTCACGAACAATGTAATTTAAGGTTGCACTTACATATAAAAAGGAAAAGCAGGCTTATCTCCACTATCAAGTGGATCAAATAAAGAATCCTCCAATCCTGGGAGATAGAATGGTTTGCTAAACAATGGTACAAATAAATAAAATACAAACAAAAATGGACATAAAAACATAAATGTAAAAGTCCAGAAAAGAATAGTTCATGCAACGCATTTCGTCATGAATATCCTCAGGGATATGTATTTCATCAAAACCTCACGGTTTTTATAGCGGTCCATCTTGGCTTCCAGGTGTTGCCTGCTGATCACGTGCATTCCACCGTGGAACGCAATATCCGGATTTGCCGTGAGGGAGACTTCCGGTCTTCCTCTGTGGAACGCAAGCCGGGACTTTTCTATTCCGGCATCGATAAGGTGAAGGTGATATTCTGCGTTTCTCCGTGGAATGAAAGCCGGAAATTCCTGTTCCGGCATTGATATGGGAAACATAACGAGAATATAGTATCTACATACAGATAGTGTGGCACTATATCTCGGTATACAGAAACAATAATATAAAACCATAGTTCCTAGTAAGGATACAATGTGCATTTATGAGATGCCTAACATCCTATAGGCTGAAACCATATATACTATAAAAAAAATCTAATCTGGGATGGTCCTATGGGAGACCATGATACTATAAAGAAGAAAAAATATATAAAAAGAAAATTATACAGAAAAAACAATATATAAGGACCAACTAGGGTCCAAAAAGGGGTATATACATATAAAAAAAATATATAAAATATGGAATCTTATAAAAATAAAAAAGTGTGGTATGGGTGAAGATTCTGCCTATGTATCCATCGGCATCTCATCTACTAAATATATAGTATAAATATGCACACAAGCACAGAATGGAAATAGTTATCCATGTGTGATGAAGATGTCCATTATTTAGTGGATTTGGGGCTGAAATATTTTTTTATTTTAGCAGCCAATAAATACATGGTCTTCCCACCACCTAGCCAATAAGCACTTTGTGTATATACCCTTTCTGTGATCCCAAACAAATGGAGCAGGTTTTTCTCTAAGCTACATACCTATTAGTGTAAAAATGTACCCATGATGTAAAGGAATTAATCATTTACACTAGCCTCGCACTAAAGTGATAAAATGATGGCATATATAGTCAATCACTCTTTGCATATCTTTAATAAAACTTGACAACTGTTTTTAAAAAAAATACATTAGGGTTTACTTACTAAAGTGAAAATTCAAAGTGAATTGGAAAAATAATCTACTTTCATTTCACATACTGTGACCTTAAATTTGAAATTCACTTTTAATTCACTTTAATTCATTGAGATTTAGTATTAAAGGCTTTTGTTATAGTTGCATTAATCTGATTATAAAAAAAAAAAAATTCTCATCACCTCCCAATCATTTCTCAGATCTGTTTTTGCAGTTCACCTTTGAATTCTCTCTGATGTATATATAATTATGAATATCACAATTTAAAACAAAATATATGCTTTCTGACCATACATGTCAAATTATAAATTCTCTATAAATAGTAAATGCTAAATCCACAAGAATGACTAGATTACATTGTGATATGCATTGGCTCCATCTAGTGGCTACAAGAGGACTTGTGAACAGATCGCAAGATTTTGATATGAGTTCACATCTGTTAGGTTGCTGTCAAAGAGTCTTGTAAAGTCTTGCTGTTTGTATGACATGAGAAAGCGCTAGTCACTTTTCATTATGTAACACATATTAGATATTTTGGCATATTTGGGGTCTATTTACTTACCTCGGCCCCCTATTACTAATGTTGCATACCAAACTATATACACAAGTTACAGCAAATCATGGTCATGCTTCAAGCCTAGCAGTCTTTGTAGCAGTTTCTGCAAATCTAATTAATTTATGCTATAGGTTTTTCTGGTTTTCCATGTCTATATGTTTTGTGGATTACTTGCAAGTTTTGGTTTTCTATTGTACTGTTCTTCAGAATACAATAATGCTTTATACATAATTTACATATCATACAAGTCACTCATGACAATATTAAATGTATTGTATGCTTATTAATGCAAGGAATCTAAATGACAAAATGGGGGAACCAGAGGCAATAGCATACACTGAACAATATGATGACATCATGGAAACATGGTGGGATGAGACACATGACTGGCCAGTTAACGTAAATGGTTATACATTTATAGTAGGGATAGAAAAAATAGGAAAGGTTGCATCAGAGGCATCTTCTATAAGATATAAGGCAGCCAATAATGCATGCAAAAATGTGATTAGATGAGCTAAGCTAGAAAATGAGAACGTAATAGCCAAAAAGAGCAAAACCAACGATATATATATATATATATGAGAAAAATGTAACCCCTTAACGCGTTCTATGCCATCCCCATTTAAATTGGCTTTAAAGCTGTTGCGGCGGCATAGAACGACGTAACAGCTTTCTGCCCCAGGAGCTTGGCAGTACTTACCTCCTCCGCGATCCTCTTCGGGAAGACTGCCTGACAGCCCAGGCAGCCCTCCCCCGGCAAATCAGGCCCCCGGGGGCCATGTGATCGCTCTCAAAGAGCGACAGATGGCCCCCTATAGCTGGCTGCGGATCTGCCAGCAGGTCAGACAGTCCCCCTGCTTGTGGGAAGTATAAAAAAATAATAAATTAAACATGTTTAAAATAAATTACAAGTATTTATATATATTAAAAATTAGATTCCTGAACATTGTTTTTGCAAGGCCTAGTTGTATTCACTCCACTGCCCAAATGTAAAATAAATAAAAAATCACTGTTTAGTAGATATACCCCAAATGAAAACTTGCATGCATTTAATTATGCATTTTTATTTAAATACCTATATCTAAATACAGCTTCGAAAACCTACAGTGCTCTTGTCTGCAGACTTTGCAATCCATCCTTTTCTCACCCCACCCAGATTGTCTGTGGCTGTCCAATCAGAGACATCCTTATGCTGCTCAATAAGAGTTTTTGCAAGTCAGGTGCTCTGAGCAGTTGCTGCTTCCTGAATTTAGCTAACCAATCCAGGAAGTAACAGGGTATGTTGTCTGCTTGAAACCATTTAAATTTATAAAATTGGCACTTTTTGCAAAATGAGAGAAAGAGGACATGCTCTTCATTCACAAACCTTTTCAGCAAGCTAAAGTGGTCTGGAGTGTCCCTTTAAGGAACAAGTATGGAAATAAGTAAACCTCTGATTTTAATCTTTCAGGATTCCTTTCTTTCAAGAATTGTACTGGATGGGAAAGTCAAATGTAGTTCCTATATCCAAAACGTGTTCAAGATCTTTTCCTGGAAATTATAGACCTGTAAGTGTAACTTCTGTGGCTGGGAATGTATTTGAATGGTTATTAACAGATAATATTCATGAATTAATTGGGAAGAACATTGTTCTTAGCAACAATCAACGTTTTATGAAACATGAATGATCTCAAATTAACTTAATTGCACTCTACAATTAGGCTGCTCACTGTTGTAAAATTTGACCCTCACCCAATACAATAAAGTGGGACTTTTCACAGGGGGGCCCATTGCTACAGCCAGCCCCCTCAGGTGACTAGGAGTCCCCAATCCCCTAGTCATCCTTCCAAGTGACTAGAGGTCCACAAGCCATTAGTTACCCCACCCCCAATAAATAAATGCGCTACCTACCCCCTCACCTTAATAGTGAGGGAAGGAGCAATAAACAAATTAACTGGAAAATACAAAAAATAAATACTTATTAGATGTCTTCTTTTTTCTAACATCTTTTTATTAGCCCCAACCAAGGCCAAATAAAAATGACTTAAGGTCCCCACCTGCCGCTAATGGGTGGAGGTTGGGGGTGGGACCCAAGGTCCCCCCCTTATCATTTAGGGCCCACACACGCTACCAATGGGTGGGGGCTGGGGGAGACACTAGGTTACCCCCATTGTCACTTAGGGCCCCCACTAGGTTCCCCCCAATGTCACCTAGGGCGCCATATGCTGGTAATGTGTGGGAGTTGGACACTAGGCGGCCACTGACTGCTCATTGTTTAGTAGACATTGCCCTACTCCCAGCACAGCCAGTGTGGGCAGGAGGGGTCATATTGAACCCCATAGAGTGAATGAAGCCATGGGGGTAAGTTAGGAGCTGCTACTATTTTTACATATTACAAGGAAGGAGTCATGAGCCAGAAGCTCTCTATCTCAAACACTGAATTGCAAGTCAGTCTTTGTTTTTTCTTTGTAATTTCTATTGGTTCATTCACCTTTCTGAAGAATGAACAAATGTTCAGCCTGATATTCAAACAATTGTGCATGAGCAAGTGTTCAACTGGGCATGCGCGTGAATTTCACACACAAGTTAGTATGGACAGATGACGTGTCTCGTAGGGCCTTCATCTGGGAACACTAAGATGTTGGCGCCTAGGAGAAGAAATAAAGAGGTAAAAAAAAAAATTGAAAACAGGGACCTAGAGGCGTTTGGGGGTGACTAAGGGGACATTTAAATGTAGAGGAAGGAGGCGGGTTAAACACAAAACATATGCAGCCATGATGAGTCTTCACTTGAACTAAGGAGCCTAGCTCTAACAGTGAAAAACATCCCTCCTCCAGTGCAATTGATTAACGAGCACCTGTAGGCAAAAGATTCTCATGAGCCCAACCCCTCCAAAATAATAATAAAAACTTGACCTTTAATCATTTAAGGACCACGTGATGGTCTATGCCATGCAGTAAAATTACCAGCAGGGGATAACCACTGCTGGTACAAAGGTACCACGGATATCTTCCAGTAACTATACACCAAGATAGAACTCAGTGTATAAGGCGCTTGATAATATAGTAAGAATAATTTTGAAAGAAAAGCCGCTACACACTTAAGTGGATATCTCTCTCACCCACTCCCATGTAGTATATACACAAAATTATAGAATAGCAAGGATCGGGGCAAACCCAATCCTTATGCTAGTTATAAAAGTAGAGCGCTGAATATAGATAGGAGGTATACACTTACCACAAGTGTATAGTCAATATCAAATGTTGACATATATAGGGAAAATAGGAAAAATAATAATATAACGTAAATCTGTGTATACGGGTAGGTATCTTAACAAGTAGTGTGTATCAACTCACATGGATAAGAGCCTCAGAAGGGACAGGCTCAAATCACGTCAGCAGTAGTGTCGTATGGTGACACTATACTTATTCACTCCCAAGGAAAGATATACTCAGGAGGAGGAGATAAAAAAATTACAGGAAGCAGACAGGCTTCTAATGTAGTAGGTCTTGGCATAAAATATATCAAACTTA